CCCCCAAAACCCCAAAACCCCAAAACCCCTAACAGAAAGAAATAAATTGAAATTCGTAGTGTATGAGTTAGATTTTATTAATAGATGTAGTTTTAAGGGCTCGGTCGTTATATCATGCTAAAACTTATAATAAACTCTACCTATAAAATCCCATTGATTTGGTCCTGAAAGTCATTAACCGAGTTTTGTTGGTGAAATATTCTAATAGAGTCTACACAACATTCATTAACTTCTGCATAATATTAATCTGAAAATCTTCTTCTAGATTTCAAATTTGTGAAATGTAGGTTTATAATAAACACCTGTTGTTTAATAATTTGGTCGAAAATGAAGCCCAGGAAGGTAACATACAATAACTTTTGCCATCGTACTACAGGTGGAGGATTCACACAAGATAAATATGCTTTATAGTTCTAAATTTTGAAATTTCCATCTTTGCTTTTATAGAAAATTTTTAAAAGGTCTGAACTGCTTGTGCTAGAAATTACTGCTTAGATTAATAATTCTGATAAAAATTCATACAAAAACTATTTCTTATCAAATATTTATGCAAAATTTCTGAAATTTTCATAGTTTTTGCATTTAAAATTTATGTCACCTTAATATTCCCAAGAGAGGTTAAACCTACCCCCATAGTGGTGATTATAGATACAGACCAATAACAAGACATGTCACAAAGGACTCATTTTTCGTGGAAAGAGGTAAGAAGAGATTCTTCATCTCTGCATCAAAGAAATCCCAAGTTATGTCAATAAACGGTGAAAAACTTTATTAATAATCACTAATTTGATTTTTTTGAGATTAAAAGCAAGTTTTAGATTCCTTTATTTTTCAATGGATCTGAGAGAGGTTAGGACTGGTCACCATGAAGCTTTGCCCAGATTTTCTCCCTGATCTGGGTGATCTCCTCATCTGAAATAAGGTTGGACAGATTTAGCTTTCTGTCAAATCGCTTCTTTGCTAGTTTAGGATCCTCTATTGATTCGAAACTTCCTAATAATGGTTTATGGTTATTTAAAGGTGAGATCATGTTTGTCCTCGTTTTCTTGATGGATAGAGACTCCTTATTGGTCTCATAAGTAGGAGAAAACGCTCTAGAAGGGTGGTAATTCTCATAATTTCTTCTAATAATCAATTTTCCTAATTTAGAATTCTTAGTTGAGTAGTTTTTAGCAAAGTCTCTTTGCTTAGAAGGTTTAAGCCTACTCTTCTGAAAGAAAGGCTTACGATAAAAATTAAGTTTTCCTCCAAGACTATTATCATTTTTAATATTCTCAAAGAATCTCGACCTCTTTGATGCACTTTTATATGAGAAGTTTACATCTGATCTATCTTGGTTAAAAGCTTCAATGGTTGAATTAGCAGCAGGAGTCTGATTTAATATAGTCTTGGGCATCTTCTTTCTCGGAGTTCTTGCTTCAAGCCTCTTGAGATTAACTTCTCTAGAACTGCTTAGCTGATGCAACCTAGTTGTTTGCTCTCAAACTGGTGAACAACCTCTCTTAATGATCAAAAAAGCCCTATTATTAAGTTTAAAAATTGGGTTTTATTCTTGTTTTTTAAGAAAAAGTAAAGCAGCAAAAAATGGAAAAATCTTACCTTAAGTTTCTCTTTTGTGTTCCATTATTCGCTTCATTCAAGAAGAAGAGTTTATGCTTGTCACTATCGATCTCAAATTTCCGAATCTTTTGCTTGACTTCAGCTTTCATTTCTTGTGTGACTTTCTTAGTGATGTATCGTTTGCCAAACATTTTCAATTTGTATCCCTCTGGATTCTTTTGGAATCCCTATGTTCAATTATTAGTTCAACTAATTCAAAGAAGTGCATAAATAATACCTAGCTAGCATGAATAGGGATTTAAGCAGGAGTAGTCACTTACGATATAACTCTCTGGACTCAATCCTTTAAGGAAAGAATTCTTAACTGCTTTCACCTCATTGTTAGTGAATCTGATATTTAATGGTCTCATATTTATATTTTTATGAAATTTTGTTCAACCCTCCTTATATGTATGGGGTTTTGGGGTTTTGGGGTTTTGGGG